CCCCGATAGCCACTCGTGATGATCATGAATGGATCAGACGATTTTGAAAACAAATTTGGATCAAATTTGAAACATATGTTCTACATTCAATGAATAAAAATATATACTAGTAAATAAATGATCAAATTTAGGAATTAAAAATCAGTAAACCAGTTGATGAATTTTTGCGACAAACTATTTACGTAAAATAGCTGTCATATTTACTAAATTTCTTTCTAAATAAGTATGAGCGCAATATAACGTCATATGAACGATATTTCATGTATTCATACATTTACAAAAATTATCTGTAATTTGATGACGACATTACATGAAGAAAAGTTTATGCAAAAAAATGAATTATTACGATTATACACAAAATTGCATAAACATGCCATAATATTTATGAAGAAAAAAAAGTGATTTTAATTATTAAATCTTTACACCAAATTTACATCACATAAATTGTAAATTTGTTGTAAACTTTTGGTAAATTAAATAAAATAAAACGTCTGACTTGAACAACCGACAGACAGACCGCCGGGTTAATTTCTCGAATTTACAGACATAAAGACAATTTTGTTCTTCAGTCATCAGTTTTCGGTTACACTTTAACGCAATAAGTTGTCACGGAAATTTAAAAAGTGTTGGTTGTTATCCAATAAGTTACAGTTTTCAAAAATGTGAGTTACAAAATACATACATTAGGTATATCGTCTCAATAATAACTTCATGTTATAAAATAATCTTTTCTTTTAGTTATTATTAAACATAAGACTCTGGAATTTTGTTAAAGCGTTAGTATAGCTTTTCAAAAGCATCACTAATGCAAGCTAATAATTCAAGTAATCAAGACCTAGTCTATGAAGATCTAACAAATATATATTCAGTAGAGAAGCTGGATATTATCAACCACATATAATCCAGAATCCAGGAAAACATTAATAATAATACAACATCCTCGTACTTTTGAAGAGAAGATGTTAAAATCATTGTCAAACATGGAGTAAGTTTTGTCAGAAGATTTGGGCAATTTTATATCACTTCAAAGAAAATGAACACAGAAAAACAGTGACAGTGAATATGATATACCAAAAATTAATATATAACCTTTATATATATACATAGATTTATATAAACATATTTTTTATAAATTAATCATTTTTATATTCTTTTTGTTAAAACCATAGGTATAATATGTTTCATATAATTTCATAATATACTTTAAAAATGTAAAAGGAATTTATATAAAACATTAATTCTACAATATTTTTTTTGTATATGTATGTAGCTACTGTATAACGTAATACTAATAAATACGAAAATAATTGATTAAAATATTTTAATTGTATACAGTTTGCTAATTTATTTCAAACAATATATAATGAATTGTATAAAATATTACATACAATTGTAAATACAATTCATTATAAATACTTTGAAATAAGCATTTTAGCAAAATGATGTGTACGATTAAAAAATATTAATTAATTATTTTCAAATATGTATATACCTTTCAATTTTTTTACCGTCAATTATTTACCATCATATCATGAGTTAAAATTTATCTAAATATGATGAGAAACATTGCTGCATGTAGTACAGTAAATCTTGCCCTCATATGTGCCTCATAGGTTTCTTCATTTCAATGTCTTAAATGGTATGTCTATTTTACGTAAATTACGAAAGTAATTCAATTTACGAAAAGTTGTCTTCGTGTTTAGTATTCGTTTGACTCATGAAATGCAGACAATATGTTACAAATTTTTACGTTCACAAGGTGAGCAACCTTTACACATGTCGTGATGATACGAATAGTAAATTTTTCGTAAATATGAAGTAAATGTGGCTATCGGGGTAACTAATGAAGGATGTGAATTATTATGTAGACTTAAGGCTTAAATTTCTGCAGCAAATAGGAGGAAATTGAAGATTATTCTGTATGTGTATTATAATTTTGAGCATGAAGAATATTTATGGGCCTTCACTGATTATAAATTAAATGTCAAATCGTGACGATTCATAAAATAATTGGGACGTAATTTTTTCTTAGATTAAGGTCCGCAATTAAAATTACGTACAAGGTCTGACGGACGGGTTGGTGACATAATAGTTGTCGGTCCTGATGAAGACATCTGACGGTCTGCAATCCTGTCGTCCTTTTTTTCCACGTCGCGTTCGTCACTTGTTATACATATAAATAAAGGAGTACCAACCAACATTAAGTGCATTACTGTTGGCTACGTCTACGTTTGTACGTTTTAATTGAAGTCCAACAACGGAATGCGAATTTATTAACATTTTATGTATCTCCTTGCACCTACGGTTAATTCCAATGCCTACCATAAAAACTTAACCGAATATAGACGTCTTTATTGTTTAATTAACGTGTTTGAATTGCTAAAATGTTTAATTTTAAATTAATTAACATTTATCAACCAGAAAAGGAATATTAACCGTCCAAACCTATCTGTTTTGGACTATAAAATCAATATTAGTACACTGTAAACATGTAAAAATCGTAATGCAAAAAGAATATTGAAAGCTAAGTGATATCTACGATAAAGCAACATTTGATAGATTCTTTCACTCAATTTCGTCCGATTAACCACGAAAGTTGTTTAAATATTTTCACTTTCTTTTTATGTTTTATGTAGCTGTCAGATCGTTGATGAGTAAATTCCGGTGGTACAATAATGGTTATCGCTTATTTATTCCAAACGAATAAACTTGTATTCTATGTTTTCGGCATCTTCAAAGCCTTTAATCGCGTGTAGTTTCATCAGCCAGTGCCGACTTTGATTGATACACACTTAATTTTTTTGGCACAAGTCGTTTTGCAACACGGCTCCGATGACATTCAGGTACATCATTCTTTTAACAGCAGTTTCGGTTTAATGACTCGGGATGCTGTTGACATTTTTAATATCCCGCTAGAAGAATATTTTGTTGCGGCACCATACTCATTCTTAAACCCACATGTGCACCACCGATGGGAAATTAATTGGGACAAAAAGAGAAAGTATAAAATTGCTTTCTGTTTAAAAATATTACATACAGTCAAGTGTAGTACCAGCACCTTGATGTTGATGATTTTGTTTACGTGAAAACTATCATCAATATGTGTATGCACCTACTATAATTAGGTGGTCAAGTTTATACATACATAAGCAAAATGGTATGGAGAATATTGCGTATTAGGTCTAGGGATTGACCAAATGAGTAAAACGGTCCGATAGGTACAGTTAGAACGAATTTTCATTAAATACAGACTCATTATAAGCGAATTGCAGTGTTTGTATTTAATTTACTTGTGGACTTTGTCGGAATCGAAGTAAATTCTATGAAATACGTTCGACTTGCTCTGAATTCCTACCTCGCAATATAGAGAAATTTCTCAGTGGAAATAGGTCGAGCAAATGCAGTTCTTTATCTAATTGCGTGGTGGATTTGTATCTCCATGTAGAGACAGATAATGGTTATGACTTGACGTGTAACGGTAATACGTTTCGTCCATTAATTGAATCTGAAATAAAAGTTAACATATCAAAAGAGTAGTAGTCTCTCTCTCTTCGGTTTCCTTTCATAGTTTCATTAGAAAGCATTTTCCATATCGGTACGTACTTGATTAAAAAAAAAAAAACTGCGTATAACCTCGGATTACTTCAATGTAACTGTTGTTTTACACATACATACATGCATGCATGTATCTATGTATGTATGTGGACATACATAGGTCGATGTTATGTTAATTTATACTTGCACCGTTATTATACAGCTGCGTTCGTACCGATCGTTTAGGTTGCACTTAATGCAAGGCAACTGCATCTTCTAATCTAGTGGCCTAATGGCACAAGCGACAAGAGGAAAAAAGCAAAAGAAAAACAAACGAATGCCGCGCCTTGCCAACAACAATTTTTGAAAAGTGAACGAGTGCAAAGCGATGTCAGTTGCGCCCCCCAACTTATCGTAATGCTCCTGGACGAATTAAGATTTCACAGAACAGGGTCGGATTCCGTCATTTGCTGAGTTTAATAAGTAGACCTAGTAGCTATATTAATAAGATTATCTAAACTCGTAAAAGTTTAAAATAATTCGAACTAATCCTAAAATGTAGCATCGTACTACAGATGGCGTTTACCGCGCCGTTTGTGGTATTTCATAAAAGTTTGTTTGAGAAATCTTTTTAAAAAGTATTAGTGATAAATTCTATTGTATAATCCTTTTTATTATCTCCTTATTTCTAAGTAAAATAAGTTCATGTATTCTAAGTACCTACTTTTTTTGTACCTATTTACTAACGTTTTCGTTCTTTTTGTTACAGATGCCATCGGTAAGTGGTTAGACGTCGAGCAATCGAAATTCTGCATGTAATGTAAGGTAGGAGTTTTGTAATAATTAGTTGATGTAAGTAACGTAGGTACATAAGCGAATTCTGGATTGAAATTTTAAATCTGTCAAAATTTATTATCCTGATCTTGAAAATGCACATTATTTTAACTGGCTGTGAATGTTGTGCTATTGTATACGTTTTCATTCATTTAATGTTCTTTTTTTTACGAAGGATATTGTTGTGTAACTTTTGATATTTATTACATGCTTATTGAAAATAAAATTTGTATCAGAATCTGTTTTTATTAATGGCCTCACAGAACTCACAAAATTTTTTTTTTTTTTANCGGCTACAAGTGGACCTTGTTGGAACATAGGTACGTAATCCTAAAATATAGCATCGTGCTACAGATGGCGTTTACTGCGCCATTTGTAGTATTTTCTAAAACAAATTAAGTTAAATTAGAGAATCTAATCAATGAGAATTGGACCTTGACATTCATGACAGTGACTCCTATAAGTAGGTTTCGAGGCTGTTCAGTTCTGAAAAATTAGAAGTCAATTTGGAACTAATGAACGTATTATAGCCGACCAGTATAAGGTCCTAACGAGATCAGGGGCCTGCCTTGTGTGGACCCGTGCTGCTGTCTTAGATGGCTCATTACCAATAATGCCGTATGTGACCCTCCTAAGTATTATAGCAGCTAATTGCCCACGAAAGAAATAACTGCAAGTTTCTCTAAAAAGAGTTCATATATTTGATGTTTGCCTCTTCAAACCCTCATAAGGCAGATTAATGAAAAATCTACAGAGAAATCGTTCTATCGACTGCTCCTCATTTGCCACATGAGACCTACATGCTTCAACAGGAAAACTATGAGACTTCTAAATTCTAGTCCTGACTCCTGAGATGATGTTGATATGTCTTCATTGTAAGACGGCAAACAAATAATTCAAAATGAAAAAGCTGCTACCAATAAAAGGAAATGTATGGTGTAAAGTTTGAGAACTGCTGCGTCCGTGGAACTGCAAGAATGCTGCACCAGGCGAAGCGACGTCAACATCAAAAATCCGAGAGACCAGTTTCGGCACAAACAGAGGAAGAAGAGAGGCTGCGAGAATTGCAACAGGCATTATTTCTTCGGTTCCTTCTTGTCACTGAAACTACTAATTTGCAACGTTTTACTTTTTGACACTTTCAACAAATCACCGCGAGCCAAATTAGATGAGGACCGTATATGTGAGTGAACGAACAACACGAAAAGGATAAAGAAAGAGAGATAGAGAGGGAGCGAAAGAGACACCGATCGTCTAATAACAGGATATATAAAGTGGTATCGTTAAACGGTAATTCGAAAGTTAATCTTTTCGCCGATTGAACTCGAAATGTTTCAAATTAGCGGTGACAATTTGTTTAATTTGCGCTTAATCAGGGGGTCTGTTTTACAAGCCGTAAAAGGTTTCCGATTTCGACCTGCATGTGTTTCTTTCAGATTGCACATTTCGGCAATACTCGGACCCATAAATAAGGTACTACATTTTATTTTCTTTTATTTAAAACTGCTTGTCAGTAATCACAACATAACATGACACAGTGGTAAAGAAAGTGACGCTAGTTCTTGCACTATTGACAGGCGGCATGTTTAATTAATTGGGCCTTGTTTGACACCGTTACCACATCAACTCAAACATTTTTATTAATGATTTGATTTAAGTTCAGGGCTAGCTTCATAGTTGTATTACGGATAAAAATTATTTCTATTTCTTTTAGAAAGTTTTAGGTCTTTTAGTTACTATGTATTTTAGATATCCTTGTGGCCTTGTGCTAATTCTTTATTTATAAGTGACAGAGAAGTTCCTTGTGAGGTTATAATTTTTAATTTAACGAGAGAGAGATTATACTTGCTGTTGTAGAAGGACTTTATGAATGTATATACGTAATACATGCCAGCCAGCTACCTTAGAAGATCACAAAGTATGAAACGAGAAATTAAAATATAATGCACTTACGTAGATTCGCGTGATCCTGAAATTGTGCCAGGATAATGCACCCTTCCTTCTAAATTATTAATATTCATTAAATGCCTACCATTACAAAAATAGTCTCAGAAATAACTAACGATAAGTACAACTTTAAATGCACGAATTGTGCATAATAATTAGTTTCGAAGACAAACCAAAGGGATCACCTGAATTCCACAATAATTATAATTACCCGATTCGACCGACCCTACATGTGAATTTCCTTGAGAGAGACGAGCTTTGCTAGATAATAAAAACAACCGAAGTTGACATCATATCCGGTCAATATTTTAATTCACGATTCTTCTTTTATATTTATCTTTCTCCTTTTTGCTATTTTTAAAATTTCTGAAATATAAATGAGGAAGTTGCGCGCCGCGTAAACCACACGATTCTTAAAATATGATCGCGAACACGTGCTAAATAATTAACGTTTCTATTAGAAGACACTTAATTAGCATGATGAATGGAGCCCGGCTCGGCTCGGCTCCTCCGATGTCTTTTTGTCGTTGGATGCACAACACTCGTCGTGTACACACACGCGTTACAAATAGGAACGCTCTGGAATCTAGATAAGTACTAGATAAATATTACTCGGTAGACAAGGCGATTCATTCTGCTAATTTGACTCTTATTAAATGGAATCGATGGATTATTGATTTAATCAAGTCAGAAGATGATTTAGGCTTCTATTGCTGTCATCTAAAGAAATTAGATTTCCGGATTCTAACCGCGCCTTATTGATGAAGTTTCCATGACGGAGCATGCTGGCAGTTGAGGATGAATGGACACATAAAGTTCCTGAAGAAGTTCGTTGTGATAGGAGACGAAACGTCGACGCTACAATTGACCCTTATGGGAATTTCATCAATAAGCCACAGTTAGAATCCGGAAATCCAATTTATTTAATCAAATCAATGAGTACAGGATGTTCTAGTACAAAGTATTGTAGGTACTGACAATATTAATTGTAGTTGTAATTCTTTTAATAGATTTGAAAGTTTTACGGAGTTAAAAAGTACGAAAGCCTTTGCATTTTTCTCTTAAAATTCTGGGATTATTATTCCAGATCGTATCAGCGGCCCACTCGCTGGATTAAATGTCAGCGAGTTATGGCTGTTGACAAATACGAAGCAGATCTACTTGTAGATAGTGTCATTTTACGTGTAAAGAAAACAACTACACGCTATTATTATCTACTTATGTACAACTAAAAGTGTGTGCGTGCATGTATTTTCGTCTCTACCCGTATTACACCTCGTTCATCGTAATGTGTGTTCGAATTCATGAATTCATGCCTAATTTCAAAAACTCACGAAGTTTTCTACAATACAATTTTGCTTATTTAGTGATATGTAGGTATATTTGTTGCCCGATGGCGGCAGCCCTGTTGCTTAATTAAATGCGGGGTCGGAGCCCGTGAGCATTTAAAATGTTATTAACCATCGCAGACAGTCCCTCTGGAACAACTCTGCATATTGTAATAAGTGAAACCGTTTTAAAAGACCTATGGGGCATATGATGTTCACAATACGGTATTAAAGGCGAACGTACAGGTCTACCTACCTACGTGTGCTGCACGCAAAAAGTAATTAGCCCAGGTTGTGCCAAAATAGGGCGGGGCAGTCGTAAAATTTCGAAATTGCACACCGTTATTGTTAATAGTATATATAATTATCTAAAAGTAGCTTTTTTGTGAACGATATTGTACCGAACGGACGATTTATATAGGGTGTCCCATTTGAAACATAAAATGTTATAACACTTTTGACTTTTGAAACAAAATAAAAAATTATAAAATTATAACAGTTTTGATGCCGGCCCTGTACAATCGCAAATTAATTACGATTGCCAACTGATCGTTGAAAAATTCACCTTCAGTAGGTCGGAATCAGCTGCTTTTTGGGCTAATGTTATTGTTTATGTTTGGTATTAAGTTACGGATCAGTCGAAGAAAATGCAGTCGCGTTAAGGTCTATTAGATGATAACATGTTAGAAAAACTACGTACCTATCAGTATCGAAAATATCATGATCGTAAACTGAAGTGGACCTAATGTAGTCGAGTAGTATGTTATTTTGAATAGAAAATAAATTTTAACGACTACGGAAAAGTTAGAAGCGGTGCACAAACAACCCTCACCACCCAGCGTTTGGTAAAGGTTTGAAACATAACGTACTAGTGTACGAAAACAAATGTATGTGTTATGGTTGTAAAAGTTAAGACAAGATACAGACCTACTTTGACCATTCACATGTGTTAAACGTTACTTTTGCCTGGCAGGGCTCATTAACCACACGTGGGGTAATACAAGGGTGTGTCCAGAAGGACCAATTTTGGTTATTTTGTTTTCATTAAATGTAAAAAGCTAAGTATTGATATAACCTCGTATAATTACACTGCTGGAAGTGACTCGAAAACAAGGCACATAATGTTGTAGATTCTAACAGGTTGTTCAGTTCGCTTTGGATTGTTGTGGAATTTACTTGTTTGTTAGTGTTAGTTTATTTATTTAGTGGTCATTTCATAAAAGACTATTACAATAAGGACAATTAGTAGTGTGATAGTGCATTCTAGTACGGTTCTTATTCAACCGTCAGTTGGTGGTGAGTTACA